GGTTGCTGTGTACCAACCTTCTACCGCTAGAATTTATGCATATAAATCCATCAGAAACAATGGCGCGTAAGACGTATATATATGACCGAAACAGTCAAAGGGTTAATTATTAAAGGGACGCATGATTTTAAATTCACAATATACAGAAAACCAACAAATAACTGTTCTTACGTGCACTATTATTCTTCACATCATCATATTTCACCCTTAAACGGTCCAAACAGATCGACGTTCAAATTCGTAGCTACAAAAGTAGATCTACTTTTTTTTACATATTTTCAAATATAACAAAAAAAAAAATGTAGATAAAAGTTTTTTTACATACTTTCAGATGTTGAAAAAACATATATATACATTTGGACTGTTTAAGGGTTAAACTGTCTGTATTCTCATCCATGTTTTTGAGAACTTTGCATGTTTGTAACCCAAAGTTTCTCTTGAAGATTTATGAAATAGCTAATGATCTAAAATACCCAAAATACTTAACTGATAATTTTTTTAAATTGCTAGAAATGCATTTTAGAATTCAAAAAAGGATGGGTATCTACTTAGAGGTAGGTGAACAATGACAGCAAGGTGTAAGGTGACTAACACTCAGGTACCTGCTTATGCTAGGTGAACAGGGACAGCAGGTATAAGATGACTAACACCCAGGTACCTACCCACTGCTAGGTGAACGGGGACAGCAGGCGTAAGGACACGCCCAGTGTTTCCACTTAGATTACAATAACATAAATACAGTGGACCCCCGGTTAACGATATTTTTTCACTCCAGAAGTATGTTCAGGTGCCAGTACTGACCGAATTTGTTCCCATAAGAAATATTGTGAAGTAGATTAGTCCATTTCAGACCCCCAAACATACACGTACAAACGCACTTACATAAATACACTTACATAATTGGTCGCATTTGGAGGTAATCGTTATGCGGGGGTCCACTGTATAGCATTAGAACGGGACAACTCTAATGCTCTGTTTATTCATGTGAGAGATTTTACCGTCCAGTTGATTTTCAAAAGGCTGATAAAGTTGTATCAAGCAAGTCAATGGTTGACACAAATATCATATCAACTTTTATATTATTATTATTATAATCAAAAAGAAGCGCTAAGCCACAAGGACTATACAGCGCTGCATCAACTTTTATAAATAAAAAAAAAAAAAAAATAGTACACCTACCATCCGACTTACAACCGAGTTCGGTTCCGAGAAACTGGTCGTAAGTCTAACTTTACTACTGAATATCAACAAAACATTTTTGTAATGGCTTTATTTTATTGTTTTATTTTGGTATTTCATGTTTTACTTTACTTTTTATGCTGTTAGAACTGTATTTTATACTGTAAGGTTTAGGATAAACACTATGTACAACACAAATACACCTACATCCGACTTACGACCTGCTCGACTTACGACCACTCGACTTACGACCGTGTTTTTTATGCCAAATTTCTGGAAATAAAATTTCCCATAAATTTGGCATAAAAAACACGGTCGTAAGTCGAGTGGTCGTAAGTCGAGCAGGTCGTAAGTCGGATGGTAGGTGTATATTAATATGAATATTAGTTAAGGGTTATATAAATTATATTAATTTATAATGAATAGAATTTGTGAGGAATTTAAGCTCCCCATGAAAACAAAAGATTTGGCAGGTGGTGCAATATCCCTCCACTGACAAGCAAGGGCGCCACAAGTACATTCAGAGACGACACAATAAGTGCCAGGGGAGTGAAAGTTAAGACACACATGCAACATCTGGGTATCTTTATTATAGACATTTCACCATCCAGTGGCTCTATCAATACAGATTCTAGGACATAACTTCAAGACAGTAAAACTATAGAAAAGATGAGGTAATTAGTCCCTCAGCCTTGGAGTTGATGTGAAGAGCACCGTAGTTGTGGAGATTCATAAGGGGGAATTACTGATAGACCCCTGGCTGTCCTCAAGAAGGCACTGGACAGACACCTAAAGTCAGTACCTGACCAGCCAGGCTGTGGTTCGTATGTTGGTTTACGTGCAGCCAGCGGTAACAGCCTGTTTGATCAGGCCCTGATCTACCACGAGGCCTGGTCATGAACTGGGCTGCATGAGCGTTGACCCCCCAGCCCCTGCATTGAGCAACCTTTAGGTATACTCAAGGTATGCCTTACATATCACTCTATGAATGACTTGTCAGGCATACCTTGACATGTGACCTTACTAAATCTTCACTACACTCCTATACTCAGCATGCTGGGTCAGGTGTCAGGTCGTATGCCAGGTGATTTCTCAGACTTAAAAGCCTTCTGCTCTCCTCTTATTTTTATAGTTCCTAGAAAGTGGAATAAATCACAAAAAAATGTGCTTGGAAATTCACTATTTTTTTCTATTAGTGGTTATTTTGTTTATTGTGATGTCACCTGTTTACTGTGAGTTTATTACATTTCATTAATAGATCTTCCATTCTATCAAATATCAAGAAAAAGCCAATAAAACATATAAGAACATCTTAGGAAACCCCCCTCAGAGTTGCTGTTTTAAATCAAACACAAGGTCACAGTTTTGTTTCTATCATGCACTGCAAAGGGGCAGGATTTTTTTTATGTTGTACACACTTGCCACACTGACTCACTCTGTTATACCTAGGACAGAATTTACCACTCACAGCTTGTCTCGGCTAGCTGAGCTCACGATGTGGATGTGTGTTAGGGGGACCCTGTCATCAATAACATAGATCTGTATGAGGAACCCTGACATAAATAACAGAGATCTACATGAGGTGACCCTGGCATCTTATTTTATATGCAGTGGTACCTTGAGTTACAAACTTAATTCGTTCCAGAAGGCTGTTTGAGTGCCGATAACAAACTAATCTAATTTACATCATTCTCATAAGGAATGATGCAAATTAGATTAGTCCATTTCAGACCCCCAAAAATACACTTACAAAAATCTTTTTCTTTCAACGAACCGGCCGTATCCCACCGAGGTGGGGTGGCCCAAAAAGAAAAATCAAAGTTTCGATTTTTTAAATTTAGTAATTTATTCAGGAGAAGGGGTTACTAGCCCCTTGCTCCCGGCATTTTAGTCGCCTCGTACAACATGCATGGCTTACGGAGGAAGAATTCTGTTCCACTTCCCCATGGAGGTAACAGGAAATAAACAAGAACAAGAACTAGTAAGAAAATAGAAGAAAACCCAGAGGGGTGTGTGTATATATACATGCTTGTACATGTATGTGTAGTGTGACCTAAGTGTAAGTAGAAGTAGCAAGACGTACCTGAAATCTTGCATGTTTTTTTTTTTTTTTTTTTTTTTTTTCTTCAACAAACCGGCCATATCCCACCAAGGCAGGGTGGCCCAAAAAGAAAAACAAAAGTTTCTCTTTTTAAATTTAGTAATTTATCAAAGGAAAGGGGTTACTATGCCCCTTGCTCCTGCATTTTAGTCGCTCTTACAACACGCATAGCTTACGGAGGAAGAATTCTGTCCCACTTCCCCATGGAGATAAGAGGAAATAAACAAGAACTAGTAAGAAAATAGAAGAAAACCCAGAGGGGTGTGTGTATATATACATGCTTGTACATGTATGTGTAGTGTGACCTAAGTGTAAGTAGAAGTAGCAAGACGTACCTGAAACCTTGCATGTTTACGAGACAGAAAAAAGGACACCAGCAATCCTACCATCATGTAAAACAATTACAGGCTTTTGTTTTGCACTCACTTGGCAGGACGGTAGTACCTCCCTGGGCGGTTGCTGTCTACTAACCTACTACCTAGAACTTCCAAAAATACACTTACATAATTGTTTGAGTTGGGAGCTGTTGGAAACTCGAGGTACCACTGCATTTATTAACACATTGGCCATCTCCCACCAAGGCAGGGTGGCCCAAAAAAAATGAAAACATTTATCATTCACTCCATCACTGTCTTGCCAGAGGTGTGCTTACATTACAGTTATAAAACTCCAACATTAACATCCCTCCTTCAGAGTGCAGACACTGTACTTCCCATATCCAGGAATCAGGTCCGGTCTGCTGGTTTCCCTGAATCCCCTCATAAATGTTACCTTGCTCACACTCCAACAGTATGTCAAATCCTAAAAGCCATTTGTCTCCATTTACTTCTATCTAACACGCTCACGCACGCTTGCTGGAAGTCCAAGCCCCTCGCACATCAAACCTCCTTTACCCCCTCCCTCCAACTTTTCCTAGGCTGACTCCTACCCCGCCTTCCCTCCACTACAGATTTATACACTCTTGAAGTCATTCTATTTTGTTTCATCCTCTCTATATGTCCAAACCATCTCAGTAACCCCTCAGCCCACTGGATAATAGTTTTGGTAATCCTGCACCTCCTCCTAATCTCCAAACTTTGGATTCTCTGTATTATATTCACACCACACATTGCCCTCAGACATGACATCTCCACTGCCTCCAGCCTTCTCCTTGTTGCAACATTCACCACCCATGTTTCACACCCATACAAGAGCATCAGTATAACTATACTCTCATACATTCCCCTCTTTACTTTCATGGATAAAGTTCTTTGTCTCCACAGACTCAGTGCACCACTCACCTTTTTCCCCTTGTCAGTTCTATGATTTACCTCATCTTTCATAGGCCTATCTGCTGACACATCCACTCCCAAATATCTGAATACAATCACCTCCTCCATACTCTCTCCCTCCAATCTGATATCCAATCTTTCGTTACCTAATTTTTTTTTGTTATCCTCATCACCTTACTCTTTCCTATATTCACTTTCAATTTCCCTCTTCTAGCATCAGTAATATATATCATTTATGATAGAATTGTTCATTGTTTTATTAATTTGCTCTGCTGCTTACAGATGAAAAGGAATGAACAGTGAACTGGCAAAACCACCAGAACTGTTCACGACTTATTTATTCAGTAAACCTGAGAAACTGCCAAAACTGATCATGGCTGTTTTTTATATGGTGAACTGTAGTTTCTACCAGAACTGTTCATTGTTTTACCCATGTGTTGTGCTTACAGATGGAAGAGGTGAACAGCGAGCTTGAAGAGCAGAGAGAACTGAGTGCCAAGCGACTGGATGAGCTGGAGAAGAAGACCAACGAACACAAGGAGGCGCTCAAGGAAGTCGAGAGACTCAAGATGGATGTAAGTCATTATTGCCAGCGGCAGAACTGACGACCAGCTTGTCAACTTGGCGAACGGAGAGTTCGAACCCAGGGTAAGCCGGCGGTAATGCCGGCAAGCCAATGACTTGTTCTGGCTTGCTGTGGGGGTTCAGGCCCTCCCTTCGCTGAGTCTTAGGTCACTCTTAAGCAGCTGTAACCACACACTGAACTTTGAGGGCAGTGCCTTGGTGCTGGCATAGTGGTGCTTGATCCAAGGAGTTAGAGCTTCCCTTCCCCTTCCTCAGATCAAACTTTGCCTCTCTCCCCCCCTCCCAATGTTTTTTTTTTAACCCCCTTTGGGGTTTTTTTTTGTTTCCCCCCAAAATCTTAAAATAGGGGCTGCCCTCATGAACCTCTCCGTTAATAATAATAATAATGATAATAATAATAACAACCCTTTCAGTATACAGACCCCTGAGATTAATATTGCGGTCACTGACCACTATAAAAAGCCAAAAATAAACAATGTACATTTTTTCACCCCGAAAAATTCCCCTCCCCCTCGCCACGTTGCCGGGCCTCCCCGTATTACTAGCCTTCCTTTTTCAATTTTAATTAAAAAAATAAAGTTTTTATTCAATTTCTTAATAAAATGAAACCAGAATGATTGGTCATGGTTTAGGGCATCCCATAATTGAATCAATCATTAAAAACCCATGTGTCCCATAGTTATTGCAGCGCACTCAGCCACCACTGAGGTCCAATTTAAATCCCCATACGGCTGGAAAACATTGGGGACGTGTTTCCTAAGACACGTGCTGTCTCTGTTCACCCATCATATAAAAGGGGAAAAATGGGTTTTAGTGACGGTGGGGTTGCAAAAGACAATCCTAGAAAAAAACTCACCCCATATCTTAACAAAACACAAAATCACAGTTTTGTTTTCCCATCGGGCCTATGTGAGGCGGGATTTTTTTTCATTTATACCAGGGAACTCCCACACAGACCCATTCTTCATACTAGGGGCCCAAAATTTTCCTCTCAAGCATATTCACCATTTTAGAATAGCACATTGCCTACCGATACCACCACAACATGGCCCAAATTTATTTGATAAACAATTTTAGGGGCTGGATTTAAACGTACATTATTAAGTACAAATGCCACGGCTGGAAAAGTACATTTGTATGGGGGACAGGAAAAAATTAAATTTTTAAAAAACCCACTTGGCTCCTCCCAAAGGGTCGCTGGTGCAGAAGGAAACATTTCACTGTTACTCAGTTAATCACTGATTTTCAAGAAGTATTTGACATCTGTTCATATGACCTCGAACTGACATCCTCACCCATCCTTTCGGTCAGGCGGTTCTCCCACCCCAGAGTACGCACACTTCCACTTTCAAGTAAGCCACTTACTTCCCACCTTTTAAGTATAGCCATTTACTTCCCACCTTCAGGGGACAGCCACTGTACTTCCCACCTTCAAGTAAGCCACTGACTTCCCACCTTTAGATACAGCCACTGTACTTCCCACCTCAAGTACAGCCACTGTACTTCCCACCTTCAAGTACAGCCACGTACTTCCCCCCTTTAGAGAGTCATGTACTTCCCCCCTTCAAGTACAATTGCGTACTTCCCACCTTCAAGTACAGCCACTGTACTTCCCCCCCCTTCAAGTACAGTACTGTGCTCTCAAAATAGCCATGTAAATTTTGTCATCATTGTTTTCAGTTACGACATTTGCCGGGGATTGATCGTGGGGAAAGACTGATACAAGTGTTTAAGTCGCAGTTTTCAGTGTTGACAACACTCTAATTTTAACTCAAACACAGCTGGAAGAGACCAGACCCAGTTGCAGAACAGCAAGAACGCCATCTTTGCCAGATTGAACAAATGGAGGTCAGAGTTGCTTGCTCTTCCTCCTCCTTCAAGTTGACTTCTTCATTACTGCTTTAATTTGTTTATACTTGTAGTTATATAGGTAGTAGGTTGGTAGACAGCAACCACCCAGGGAGGTACTACCGTCCTGCCAAGTGAGTGTAAAACGAAAGCCTGTAATTGTTTTACATGATGGTAGGATTGCTGGTGTCTTTTGTCTGTCTCATAAATATGCAAGATTACAGGTACGTCTTGCTACTTCTACTTACACTTAGGTCACACTACACATACATGTACACGTTTATTTATACACACTCATCTGAGTTTTCTTTGATTTTATCTTAATAGTTCTTGGTCTTATTACTTTTCCTTTTATATCCATGGGGAAGTGGAATAAGAATCTTTCCTCCGTAAGCCATGCGTGTTGTAAAAGTCAACTAAAAATGCCGGGAACAATGGGCTAGTAACCCCTTTTCCTGTAAAGATTACTAAAAAGAATAAGAAGAAGAAAATTGTCAAAGTGGGAAGTCTGAATGTGCGTGGATGTTGTGCAAATGATAAAGAAAGAGATGATTGTGGATGTTATGAATGAGAAGAAACTGGATGTCCTGGCTTTAAGTGAAACAAAGCTGAAGGGGGTGGGAGAGTTTAAATGGAGAGGAATAAATGGGATTAGGTCAGGGGTTTCAAATAGAGTTAGAGCTAAAGAAGGAGTAGCAATAATGTTGAAAGATAAGCTATGGCAGGAAAAGAGGGACTACAAATGTATAAATTCAAGGATTATGTGGAGTAAAATAAAGATTGGATGTGAAAAGTGGGTTATAGTAAGCGTGTATGCACCTGGAGAAGAGAGAAGTGTAGAGGAGAGAGAGAGATTCTGGGAAATGTTGAGTGAATGCGTGGGGAGTTTTGAATCAAGTGTGAGAGTAATGGTGGTTGGGGATTTCAATGCTAAAGTGGGTAAAAATGTTATGGAGGGAGTAGTAGGTAAATTTGGGGTGCCAGGGGTAAATGTAAATGGGGAGCCTTTAATTGAGCTATGTGTAGAAAGAAATTTGGTAATAAGTAACACATATTTTATGAAAAAGAGGATAAATAAATATACAAGGTATGATGTAGCACGTAATGAAAGTAGTTTGTTAGATTATGTATTGGTGGATAAAAGGTTGATGGGTAGGCTCCAGGATGTACATGTTTATAGAGGGGCAACTGATATATCGGATCATTATTTAGTTGTAGCTACAGTTAGAGTAAGAGGTAGATGGGAAAAGAGGAAGGTGGCAACAACAAGTAAGAGGGAGGTGAAAGTGTATAAACTAAAGGAGGAGGAAGTTCGGGCGAGATATAAGCGACTATTGGCAGAAAGGTGGGCTAGTGCAAAGATGAGTAGTGGGGGGTTGAAGAGGGTTGGAATAGTTTAAAAATGCAGTATTGGAATGTGGGCAGAAGTTTGTGGTTATAGGAGGGTGGGGGCAGGAGGAAAGAGGAGTGATTGGTGGAATGATGAAGTAAAGGGTGTGATAAAAGAGAAAAAGGTAGCTTACGAGAGGTTTTTACAAAGCAGAAGTGTTATAAGAAGAGCAGAGTATATGGAGAGTAAAAGAAAGGTGAAGAAGAGTGGTGAGAGAGTGCAAAAGGAGAGCAGATGAAAGAGTGGGAGAGGCACTGTCAAGAAATTTTAATGAAAATAAGAAAAAATTTTGGAGTGAGTTAAACAAGTTAAGAAAGCCTAGGGAAAGTATGGATTTGTCAGTTAAAAACAAAGTAGGGGAGTTAGTAGATGGGGAGAGGGAGGTATTAGGTAGATGGCGAGATATTTTTGAGGAACTTTTAAATGTTAAGGAAGAAAGGGAGGCGGTAATTTCATGCACTGGCCAGGGAGGTATACCATCTTTTAGGAGTGAAGAAGAGCAGAATGTAAGTGTGGTGGAGGTACGTGAGGCATTACGTAGAATGAAAGGGGGTAAAGCAGCTGGAACTGATGGGATCATGACAGAAATGTTAAAAGCAGGGGGGGATATAGTGTTGGAGTGGTTGGTACTTTTGTTTAATAAATGTATGAAAGAGGGGAAGGGACCTAGGGATTGGCAGAGAGCATGTATAGTCCCTTTATATAAAGGGAAAGGGGACAAAAGAGATTGTAAAAATTATAGAGGAATAAGTTTACTGAGTATACCAGGAAAAGTATACGGTAGGGTTATAATTGAAAGAATTAGAGGTAAGACAGAATGTAGAATTGCGGACGAGCAAGGAGGCTTCAGAGTGGGTAGGGGATGTGTAGATCAAGTGTTTACATTGAAGCATATATGTGAACAGTATTTAGATAAAGGTAGGGAAGTTTTTAGCATTTATGGATTTAGAAAAGGCATATGATAGAGTGGATAGAGGGGCAATGTGGCAGATGTTGCAAGTATATGGAATAGGTGGTAAGTTACTAAATGCTGTAAAGAGCTTTATGAGGATAGTGAGGCTCAGGTTAGGGTGTGTAGAAGAGAGGGAGAATACTTCCCGGTAAAAGTAGGTCTTAGACAGGGATGTGTAATGTCACCATGTTGTTTAATATATTTATAGATGGGGTTGTAAAAGAAGTAAATGCTAGGGTGTTTCGGGAGAGGGGTGGGATTAAATTATGGGGAATCAAATTCAAAATGGGAATTGACACAGTTACTTTTTGCTGATGATACTGTGCTTATGGGAGATTCTAAAGAAAAATTGCAAAGGTTAGTGGATGAGTTTGAGAATGTGTGTAAAGGTAAAAGTTGAAAGTGAACATAGAAAAGAGTAAGGTGATGAGGGTATCAAATGATTTAGATAAAGAAAAATTGGATATCAAATTGGGGAGGAGGAGTATGGAAGAAGTGAATGTTTTCAGATACTTGGGAGTTGACGTGTCGGCGGATGGATTTATGAAGGATGAGGTTAATCATAGAATTGATGAGGGAAAAAAGGTGAGTGGTGCGTTGAGGTATATGTGGAGTCAAAAAACGTTATCTATGGAGGCAAAGAAGGAATGTATGAAAGTATAGTAGTACCAACACTCTTATATGGATGTGAAGCTTGGGTGGTAAATGCAGCAGCGAGGAGACGGTTGGAGGCAGTGGAGATGTCCTGTCTAAGGGCAATGTGTGGTGTAAATATTATGCAGAAAATTCGGAGTGTGGAAATTAGGAGAAGGTGTGGAGTTAATAAAAGCATTAGTCAGAGGGCAGAAGAGGGGTTGTTGAGGTGGTTTGGTCATTTAGAGAGAATGGATCAAAGTAGAATGACATGGAAAGCATATAAATCTATAGGGGAAGGAAAGAGGGGTAGGGGTCGTCCTCGAAAGGGTTGGAAAGAGGGGGTAAAGGAGGTTTTGTGGTGAGGGGCTTGGACTTCCAGCAAGCATGCATGAGCGTGTTAGATAGGAGTGAATGGAGACGAATGATACTTGGGACCTGACGATCTGTTGGAGTGTGAGCAGGTAATATTTAGTGAAAGAATTCAGGGAAACCGGTTATTTTCATATAGTCGGACTTGAGTCCTGGAAATGGGAAGTACAATGCCTGCACTTTAAAGGAGGGGTTTGGGATATTGGCAGTTTGGAGGGGTATGTTGTGTATCTCTATACGTATATGCTTCTAAACTGTTGTATTCTGAGCACCTCTGCAAAAGCAGTGATAATGTGTGAGTGTGGTGAAAGTGTTGAATGATGATGAAAGTATTTTCTTTTTGGGGATTTTCTTTCTTTTTTTTGGGTCACCCTGCCTCGGTGGGAGACGACCGACTTGAAAAAAAAAAAAAAAAAAAAAAACTTGTAGTTAGGTTAGGTCGTAGTTAGGTACTAGTTTGGTTAGGTTAGGTAGTAGTTAGGTTAGGCACTAGTTTGGTTAGGTTAGATAAAAATTTGTCAGGAAACTGGACAAGTGTTTCCTGATGCAGGTTTTAGTCATATGGTGACCTGCTGCTGGAGCTTTTGGTCATCTGACCGAGGCCTTCCGCTGGCTTTCAGTTCACCCCCTTGAAAAATTAAGGTTAAATCATTTGGTAGGTTGGTGGCCAGCAGCCACCCAGGGAGGTACTACTGTCCTGCCAAATAAGTGTAAAATGGAACCCTGTAATTGTTGTACACAATGGTAGGATTGCTTGTGTCTTTCTGTCTCATAAACACACAAGATAACAGGTACGTCTTGCTACTTCTACCTACCTACCTGGAGGGTATTCCGGGTATCAGCGCCCCTGCAGCTCAGTCCATGACCAGGCCTTCCAGTGGATAAGGGCCTGATCAACCCGACTTTGGTCACACTATGCATGCATGGACATGTATATGTAGACACACCCATTTGAATTTTCTTCTATTTTTATTAGTTTTCTAATACACCAGTCACTTCCCACTGAGGCAGGGTGACCCAAGATAGAAGGAACTTTTGCCATCACTCACTCCATCACTGTCTTGCCAGAGGAGTGCCGATAGTACTGTTCAAAAGTGCAGATATCTCCACCCATCCTTCAGGGTACAGGCACTGTTCAACCCGCCTCCATAGCTGTAACATCTTCACTCATCCTTCAGAGTACAGGCACTGTATTACCTACCTCCAGAACTGTAACTTCCTCACTCATTCTTCAGAGCACAGACACTGTACCTCTCACCTCTGCAGCTGTAACATCCTCACTCATCCTTCAGAGTACAGGCACTGTACTTCCCACCCCCAGAACTGTAACATTGTGACTCATCCTTCAGAGTACAGACACTGTACCTCCCACCTCCAGAACTGTAACATCCTCACATATCCTTCAGAGTACAGGCACTAAACGTCCCACTTCCAGAACTGTAACATCCTTATTTGTCCTTCTAAGTACAGACACTGTGCCTCCCACCTCCACAACTGTAACATCCTCACTCATCCTTCAGAGTACAGGCACTATACTGCCCACCTCCAGAACTGTAACATCATCACTTGTCCTTCAAAGTACAGACACTGTACCTCCCACCTCCAGAACTGTAACATCGTGACTCATGCTTCAGAGTACTGGTACTGTACTATCCACCTCCAGAACTGTAACATCCTCACCCTTCCTTCAGAGTACTGGTACTGTACTACTCACCTCTAGAACTGTAACATCCTCACCCCTCCTTCAGAGTACTGGTACTGTACTACCCACCTCCAGAAATGTAACATCCTCACATAGTTCATTGTGTCATCTGAACTGTAATGCCAACATACCTCCCTCATGACAGTGACTGAACAATGGTGAATGCATTTTATCTTTTTGAGTGTATATTCCTTGGTGGCAGATGACCAGAGTGCATTAACATACGTAAATCATTGAAGTTCTAACATTGATTCAACATTACAGAGTGAGGAATTGACCATCCAGAAGAAGTTACGAGCAGAAGTAATTCAACTGGAGGACATGCAGGCCCAGGTACGCAAGGAGTACGAGATGTTGAGGATCGAGTTCGAACAGAACCTTGCCGCTAACGAGCAGACAGGACCCATCAACCGAGAGATGAGGCACCTCATTACCTCCTTACAGAACCACATCACTCAACTCAAGGGTGAGATTCATCGCTACAAACGCAAGTACAAGGAAGCTGCAACTGATAACAGCAAGGTGAGTCATGATAACAGCAAGGTGAGTCATGATAACAGCAAGGTGAGTCATGATAACACCAAGGTGAGTCATGATAACACCAAGGTGAGTCATGATAATAGCAAGTGGTGCCACTTGTGAGGTGAGTCATTGGTCAGCTCTATTATTAACTTCCTCTGTATACAGTCAGTTTCCTTATAAGCTCCTCTATATACAGTTTTCTTATAAAGCTCTTCTATATAAGAATATAAGGAGCACTGCAGCAGGCTTACTGGCCCAATCTAGTCACGTCCCACCCACACCCACTCGTGTTTTTTTTTTTTTTTTTTTTTTTTTCCCAAACAAGTCGGCCATCTCCCACCGAGGCAGGGTGACCCAAAAAAGAAAGAAAATCCCCAAAAAGAAAATACTTTCATCATCATTTAACACTTTCACCACACTCACACATTATCACTGTTTTTGCAGAGGTGCTCAGAATACAACAGTTTAGAAGCATATACATATAAAGATACACAACATATCCCTCCAAACTGCCAATATCCGAAACCCCTCCTTTAAAGTGCAGGCATTGTACTTCCCATTTCCAGGACTCAAGTCCGACTATATGCAAATAACTGGTTTCCCTGAATCCCTTCACTAAATATTACCCTGCTCACACTCCAACAGATCGTCAGGTCCCAAGTATCATTCGTCTCCATTCACTCCTATCTAACACGCTCACGCACGCTTTCTGGAAGTCCAAGCCTCTCGCCCACAAAACCTCCTTTACCCCCTCTCTCCAACCCTTTCGAGGACGCCCCCCACCCCTCCTTCCTTCCCCTATAGATTTATATGCTTTTCCATGTCATTCTACTTTGATCCATTCTCTCTAAATGACCAAACCCCCCAACAACCCCCTTCTGCCCTCTGACTAATGCTTTTATTAACTCCACACCTTCTCCTAATTTCCCCACCCGAATTTTCTGCATAAATTTACACCACACATTGCCTTAGCAGGGCATCTCCACTGCCTCCCAACCCTCTCCTCGCTGCTGCATTTACCCCCCAAGCTTCACTCCAAAAAAGAATTTGGGATACAAACTTTCATACTTTCCCCCTTTTTTGCCTCCATAGTAATTTTTTGACTCCACATAAACTCAAAGCACCACTCACCTTTTTTCCCTCATCAATTCTATATTAACCTCATCCCCATAAATCCCTCCGCCGACACTCAACTCCCAAGTATCTGAAAAAAATTCACTTCTTCCCTACTCCTCCCCCCCAATTTTATATCCAATTTTTCTTTCTAAATCATTTTATACCCCCATCACCTTTCCTTTTCTATGTTCACTTTCACTTTCCCACCTTTTCACACATCCCAAACTCACCCCTAACCTTTTCAAATTTTTTTTAGAATCTTCCCTAAACAGTATCATCAGCAAAAAGTAACTGTGTCAATTCCCATTTTGAATTTGATTCCCCATAATTTAATCCCACCCCTCTCCCGAACACCCTAGCATTTACTTCTTTTACAACCCCATCTATAAATATATTTAAACAACCATGGTGACATTACACATCCCTGTCTAAGACCTACTTTTACCGGGAAGTATTCTCCCTCTCTTCTACACACCCTAACCTGAGCCTCACTATCCTCATAAAAACTCTTAACAGCATTTAGTAACTTACCACTCGTGTATTTATCTAACCTATTTTTAAAACTATACAAGGTTTTAGCTTCCATAATGCTACTCAGTAGTTTGTTCCACTCATCCACAACTCCATTACCAAACCAGTGCTTTCCTATATCCTATCTAAATCTAGATTTTTCCAACTTGAAACCAATGCAGGGAGTTCTGTCTTCATTAGACATTTTTAGCAAGTTATTTATGTCCTTTTATTTATTACTCTCTTCCATTTATACATTCAGTCATTTACCCCCCAATTCTATGCCTTTCTGGAGAGTGCAGATTCAGGGCCCTTAGTCAATCCTCATAGGAAAGATTTCTGATACAAGGGATCAACTTTGTCATCCCTCTCTCTATGTTTTTCAGTGCAATCATATCCATTCTGTATTATGTTGACCAGAATTATGCAGCATAATCTTAATGAGGCCTAACCAACAGCATATAGAGTTGGGGAATTACCTGAGGACTCCTGTTATTTATACTTTTTAATATGAAACCAAGAGTTCTATTCCCTTTATTGTGAACACTTACACACTGTTGTCTTGGTTTTAGAGTATTGTTAACCAGACCTAAATCTTGTTCACAATCATAGTGATTTAAGATCCACATTATTTAGTTTACGAGTGTCATGGTTATTTTCCTTTTGCAGTGCTTAAAACTTTGTATTTGTCAATATTAAACTGCATCTGTTACTTCTTTGACCACTGCATCAGTTTATTCAGATCTTCCTGTAGTTCTCTAGTGTCCTCGTCAGAATTAATTTGACGGCCTATTTTGGTGTCACCAGCAAACTAACTTATGTTGCTGTTTATTCCCTCATCTATGTTGTTTATGCGTGTGATGAATGGTTTTGAAAACTGACAAGTTGAAGAATTGAGACACTTATGCAACATAGGGGAATCTTTATTGAAAAAACGTTTCACCACACAGTGGCTTCATCAGTCCAATACAAATTAGAAATGGGTAAGGAGAGGAGGAGTTTGAGGTAATCAATCCCTCAGCTTCTAGGAAGTGATGGACTGAACACATCGATTCCAAGCTGAGGGACTGATTACTTGAAACTCTTCCTCTCCCTACCCATTTCTGCTTTGTATTGAACTGATGAAGCCACTGTGTGGCAAAACATTTCTTCAGTAAAGATTCCCATATGTTGTATAAGTGTCTCAATTCTTCAATATGTCGTTTATGTAGATTGTGAACAGCAAAGGGCCCAACACTGACCCCTGTGGAACACTGCTCGTGATGCTTCCCCACTCTGATTTCTCCCTGGTTATGCAAACTTAATGTTGTCTGTCTGTCAACCACTCCTCTATCCAGGAAAAAATTTCTCTTATTCTGTGTGCCTCAACTTTCCTCAACAACCTTTGATGTACAACTCTCTCAAAAGTCTTACTGATGTTCATGTACACAATATCATTCATTACAACCATCTACCTCCTCAAATACCTCACTGAAAAAAGTAAGTTCATAAGGCCGGAATACCCCTGAGAACACTTCATCAAGACTTGGCAATTTGTTAGGTTTTAATCTGTCTATATACAGTCAGTTCTCTCATAAACCTCCACACTCACATAAGTGTTGGTACCATTATACTCTCATGTATTGCACTTTGTTTGCCTCCATAAATTAAGTTCTTGATGTCCACAGATGTCTCAGTCCACCATCCATCATTCTACCCATCATCAATTCTATGGTTGACCTCATCTGTCATAGAAACATTCACCCACAAATATCTCGACACATTTACTATATTGTAGGTAGTAGGTTGGTAGACAGCAACTGCCCAGGGAGGTACTACCATCCTGCCAAATGAGTGTAAAACGAAAGCCTGTAATTGTTTTACATGATGGTAGGATTGCTGGTGTCCTTTTTTCTGTCTCATAAACATGCAAGATTTCAGGTACATCTTGCTACTTCTGCTTACACTGAGGTCACACTACACATGTACAAGCATATATACACACAACCCTCTGGGTTTTCTGCTATTTTCTTTCTAGTTCTTGTTCTTGTTTATTTCCTCTTATCTCCATGGGGAAGTGGAACAGAATTCTTCCTCCGTAAGCCATGCGTGTTGTAAGAGGCGACTAAAATGCCGGGAGCAAGGGGCTAGTAATCTCTTCTCCTGTATAAGTTACTCAATTTAAAAAGAGAAACTTTTGTTTTCCTTTTTGGGCCACCCTGCCTTGGTGGGATACGGCCGGTTTGTTGAAAGAAGAAGATTTACTATATTCATACTTCCTTCCTCAGGTCTGTTATCAAGTCTTTCATTATCTTCATCTTTAATTCTTCTCATCACCCTATTCTTTCCAGTGCTCACTGTCAACTTCCTTATGGTTCTTCTCACATTACTCCATCAACCTTGTTGACTTGTCTTCAGAGTCTGCCACAACTGTGTCATCAGCTAACATCAACTGTGACAACTGTCTCTTCGTGTTATATTCTTCAACTTTCAATCATCAACTTTATCCAACACTGTCATCTTGTGATTATGATAATGGCATACAAGACTGACAACTTGATAAGTAAGACTCATGTGCAACAGTTAGGTATTTTTATTCCAAAATGTTTCTCCTACATAGTAGGCTTCTTCAGTTGAGTACAGAGGATGCAGCAGAAGCAGTAGAGATGTAAAGACGATGTTATCAGTCCATCACTCTGAAGACGTAGTTTTGAGGTGGTCAGTCCCTCAGCCTGGAGAAGAGTTTTGTTCCATAGTCTGGAACATTTTGAATCTGAAGCAACAGTGTGGAGACTTATATACTGTCAAAGGTGAGGTGTAGATAATCTTAACAAGAGAGACAGAGCCAACAAGTAGAATTAACAGTGTAATCACTGAGAGGGCAGATCCATCTCAGATCCATTCCTTCTCACTTGTAACTAGTGGTCAAGCAAAAAAGTTATCCAAGATATTCTCTCTGTCAAGATACCATTGTGTTGCAGTGTCTGACAGTGACTATGCTATTGGTATACAGTGCCATTATCATATTCATTCCTATTGTTAAGATTGTGTCTCACATTTGACATTATATAAGTCTCCATACTGTTGCTTCAGCTTCACAGTGTTCCAGACTATGGAACAAAACTCTTCTCCAGGCTGAGGAACTGACCACCTCAAAACTACGTCTTCTAAGGTGATGGACTGATTACATAGTCTATGCATCACTACTGCTTCTGCTGCCTCTGTGCTTGACTGAAGGTCTACAGTGTATATACCTTTGAAGAGTTTCGAGAGCTTCACTACTCTCAGAGCCTGGCCATGGGCCAGACTTGTCAGTGAAATGTGTCAGAATAAAGACACCTAACTGTTTCATGTGTCTTACTCATGAACTGTCACTTTGCATTATATTCTTCATCTTTCAATCATCAACTCTCTCCAGTACTGTCACTTCTTGTTCAACAACCATGGTGACATCACATGTCATTGCCTTAGGCCTGCTTTCACTGGGATATAATCTCCCTCTCTCCTACATACTCTAACCTAAGCCTCACTATCCTCATAAAACCTCTTAACTGCTTTCACCTGTTCCATACACTTGAAACATCTGCTGATTATTATTATTGTTATTATAATAATAATATTATTATTATGAGAAGGTATGCCTAACTTTGAAATATTTCAATGTCTTCAGTTCAAACGAGAAATAGAAGAACTCAACCAGAAGCTGGCAGTGAGACAACGTAGCGCCAGTGTCAGCGAACGTCAGGACAGTGTCAGCAGTGACAGAGGTGAAGGAGGGAAGGAACCGGTAAGTCTGTGTTGATATTAGTAAGCTGTAAATGTTGGCTGAACTTGAGTCCTGGAGGTGGGAAGCACAGTCATGGGGTGATTACCCACAAATGAGGACCATGAGCCTAACTGGGAAGATAGGAAGATGGATTTTCAGGTTCCTGACACACAACACAAAAAGTAGTAGTTAACAGAGCAAAGTCCAGGATCAGCCCAGTTTCCCAAGGTACTGTTCTTGTACCTCTGTTATTTCTCATCCTCATAACATAGATAAAAACACCCATCACAGTTTTATATCATCATTTGTATGACTCACGAAATTGTAATGACACGATTGCAAACAAACCATACCACATGTGGGGTTACAACCCATAATCAGAGAGTCTCAAAACTCCGGACTGTCGCATTAGCTACTGGACCAACAAACTTCAAATAAGATTCATCCAACTAGGTATATACTTAGGTGGATGAATCTTATTGAAGCTAGTTGGCCCAGTGGCTAACGCGACAGTCTGGAGTTTTGAGACTCTCTGATCGCGGGTTCTAACCCCACCTGTGGTATGGTTTGTCATTTGTAGATGACACTAAAATAAGCACGAAAGTCACTACAGTAGAAAACACTGAAAAATTACAGGAAGACATAGGCAGGGTTTTCCAATGGGCAGTGGAGAACAACATGACGTTTGATGGTGATAAGTTCCAACTGCTTAGGTATGGAAAGAATGAAGAACTCAAAAGGAACACTATATACAAAACTCAAGAGGGTCACCAGATAGAACGAAAGGAACACGTAAAAGTCTTGGGAATAATTATATCAGCTGACCTTTCTTTTAAAGAACATAATAAGACAAAGATCATGACAGCCAGAAGGATGACGGGGTGGATATTGAGAACTTTCAAAACCAAGGAAATAATGCCCATGATGACAGTCTTCAAATTACTAGTGTTCCCTCATTTAAAATATTGCTCAGCACTGACAGCCCCATTTAAAGCAGGAGAAATATCAGAGCTGGAACGAATACAGAGATCATTTACGACACAAGTAGAGATAGTAAAGTATTTAAATTATACTGCTAATATCTTAAATATCTACAAATTCTCTGCATTATATTCACACCACATTGTGTGGTGTGAATATAATGCAGAAAATTCGTAGTTTGGAAATTAGGAGGAGGTGCAGGATTGCCAAAACTATTATCCAGAGGGCTGAGGAGAAATTGTTGAGGTGTTTCAGACATGCAGAGAGACTGGAACAAAATAGAATGACTTTGAAAGTGTACAAATCTGTAGTGGAGGGAAGGCAGGGCAGAGGTCGGCCTAGGAAAGGTTGGAGGGAGGGGGTAAAGGAGGTTTTGTGTGCGAGGGGCTTGGACTTCCAGCAAGCATGCGCGAGTGTGTTAGGTAGGTGCGAATGGAGACAAATGGTTTTTAGGATTTGAAGTGCTGTTGGAGTATGAACAGGGTAATATTTATGAAAGGATTCAGAGAAACTGGCAGGCTGGACTTCTGTCCTGGAGGTGGGAAGTACAGTGCCTGCACTCTGAAGGAGGGGTGTTAATGTTGCAGTTTTATAACTGTAGTGTAAGTGCGCCTTTGGCAAGACAGTGATGGAGTGAATGATGGTGAAAGTTTTTCCTTTTCGGGCCACCCTACCTTTGTGGGAAATGGCTGATGTGTTGAAAAAAAAAAATAAAACAATCTTAAATATGTACTCATTGGAGCGGTGGAGTGAGTGATAAATGGTAACATATACCTGGAAGGTGCTTGAGGGCCTTGTCCAAAATCTGCACACTGCTATAACATGGTGGAGTGAGAGAGACTTTAATCCAAATTAACCAACCATCCAGCCTTAATGACCCTTGTGTAGTAGATAGACTTTAAACCTCATTAACCAACCTAAGGTACCTAGGGATTGGCAGAGAGCATGCATAGTTCCTTTGTATAAAGGCAAAGGGGACAAAAGAGAAGTTGCAGAGATTGATGGATGAATTTGCTAGGGTTTACCTGGAGTTTACCTGGAGAGAGTTTCGGGGGTCAACGCCCCCGCGGCCCGGTCTGTGACCAGGCCTCCTGGTGGATCAGCGCCTGATCAACCAGGCTGTTGCTGCTGGCTGCACGCAAACCAACGTACGAGCCACAGCCCGGCTGATCAGGAACTGACTTTAGGTGCTTGTCCAGTGCCAGCTTGAAGACTGCCAGGGGTCTGTTGGTAATCCCCCTTATGTGTGCTGGGAGGCAGTTGAACAGTCTCGGGCCCCTGACACTTATTGTATGGTCTCTTAACGTGCTAGTGACACCCCTGCTTTTCATTGGGGGGATGGTACATCGTCTGCCAAGTCTTTTGCTTTCGTAGTGAGTGATTTTCGTGTGCAAGTTCGGTACTAGTCCCTCTAGGATTTTCCAGGTGTATATAATCATGTATCTCTCCCTCCTGCGTTCCAGGGAATACAGGTTTAGAAACCTCAAGCGCTCCCAGTAATTGAGGTGTTTTATCTCCGTTATGCGCGCCGTGAAAGTTCTCTGTACATTTTCTAAGTCGGCAATTTCACCTGCCTTGAAAGGTGCTGTTAGAGTGCAGCAATATTCCAGCCTAGATAGAACAAGTGACCTGAAGAGTGTCATCATGGGCTTGGCCTCCCTAGTTTTGAGGGTTCTCATTATCCATCCTGTCATTTTTCTAGCAGATGCGATTGATACAATGTTATGGTCCTTGAAGGTGAGATCCTCCGACATAATCACTCCCAGGTCTTTGACGTTGGTGTTTCGCTCTATTTCGTGGCCAGAATTTGTTTTGTACTCTGATGAAGATTTAATTTCCTCATGTTTACCATATCTGAGTAATTGAAATTTCTCATCGTTGAACTTCATATTGTTTTCTGCAGCCCACTGAAAGATTTGGTTGATGTCCGCCTGGAGCCTTGCAGTGTCTGCAATGGAAGACACTGTCATGCAGATTCGGGTGTCATCTGCAAAGGAAGACACGGTGCTGTGGCTGACATCCTTGTCTATGTCGGATATGAGGATGAGGAACAAGATGGGAGCTAGTACTGTGCCTTGTGGAACAGAGCTTTTCACCGTAGCTGCCTCGGACTTTACTCTGTTGACGACTACTCTCTGTGTTCTGTTAGTGAGGAAATTATAGATCCATCGACCGACTTTTCCTGATATTCCTTTAGCGCGCATTTTGTGCGCTATTACGCCATGGTCACACTTGTCGAAGGCTTTTGCAAAGTCTGTATATATTACATCTGCATTCTTTTTGTCTTCTAGTGCATTTAGGACCTTGTCGTAGTGATCCAGTAGCTGAGACAGACAGGAGCGACCTGTTCTAAACCCATGTTGCCCTGGTTGTGTAACTGATGGGTTTCTAGATGGGTGGTGATCTTGCTTCTTAGGACCCTTTCAAAGATTTTTATGATATGGGATGTTAGTGCTATTGGTCTGTAGTTCTTTGCTGTTGCTTTACTGCCCCCTTTGTGGAGTGGGGCTATGTCTGTTGTTTTTAGTAACTGAGGGACGACCCCCGTGTCCATGCTCCCTCTCCATAGGATGGAAAAGGCTCGTGATAGGGGCTTCTTGCAGTTCTTGATGAACACAGAGTTTCATGAGTCTGGCCCTGGGGCAGAGTGCATGGGCATGTCATTTATCGCCTGTTCGAAGTCATTTGGCGTCAGGATAACATCGGATAGGCTTGTGTTAATCAATTTTGTGGCTCTCTCATAAAAAATTCATTTTGATCTTCGACTCTCAGTCTGGTTAGCGGCTTGCTAAAAACTGAGTCATATTGGGACTTGAGTAGCTCACTCATTTCCTTGCTGTCATCTGTGTAGGACCCATCTTGTTTAAGTAGGGGCCCAATACTGGGCGTTGTTCTCGATTTTGATTTGGCATAGGAGAAGAAATACTTTGGGTTTCTTTCGATTTCATTTATAGCTTTTAGTTCTTCCCGCGATTCCTGACTCCTAAAGGATTCTTTTAGCTTAAGTTCGATGCTTGCTATTTCTCTGACCAGTGTCTCCCTGGGCATTTCAGATATATTGACCTCTTTTAGCCGCTCTGTTATTCTTTTCCGTCGCCTGTAAAGGGAGCGCCTGTCTCTTTCTATTTTACATCTACTCCTCCTTTTTCTTAGAGGAATAAGCCTTGTGCATACATCGAGTGTGCATCGGGTGTGCAAAAGAAGAAAATTAAAAGTGAATACAGGAAAGAGTAAGATTATGATGATAACAAAAAGATTAGGTGATGAAAGATTGGGTATCAGATTGGAGGGAGAGAGTATGGAGGAGGTATTCAGATATTTGGGAGTGGACGTGTCAGCGGATGGGTCTATGAAAGATGAGGTGAATCATAGAATTGATGAGGGGAAAAGGGTGAGTGGTGCACTTAGGAGTCTGTGGAGACAAAGAACTTTGTCCTTGGAGGCAAAGAGGGGAATGTATGAGAGTATAGTTTTACCAACGCTCTTATATGGGTGTGAAGCATGGGTGATGAATGTTGCAGCGAGGAGAAGGCTTGAGGCAGTGGAGATGTCATGTCTGAGGGCAATGTGTGGTGTGAATATAATGCAGAGAATTCGTAGTTTGGAAGTTAGGAGGAGGTGTGGGATTACCAAAACTGTTGTCCAGAGGGCTGAGGAAGGGTTGTTGAGGTGGTTTGGATGTGTACAGAGAATGGAGCGAAACAGAGTGACTTCAAGAGTGTATCAGTCTGTAGTGGAAGGAAGGCGGGGTAGGGGTCGGCCTAGGAAAGATTGGAGGGAGGGGGTAAAGGAGGTTTTGTGTGCGAGGGGCTTGGACTTCCAGCAGGCATGCGTGAGCGTGTTTGATAGGAGTGAATGGAGACAAATGGTTTTTAATACTTGACGTACTGTTGGAGTGTGAGCAAAGTAACATTTATGAAGGGGTTCAGGGAAACCGGCAGGCCGGACTTGAGTCCTGGAGATGGGAAGTACAGTGCCTGCACTCTGAAGGAGGGGTGTTAATGTTGCAGTTTAAAAACTGTAGTGTAAAGCACCCTTCTGGCAAGACAGTGATGAGTGAATGATGGTGA